CGGTCTGTAGTTCTTCAAGAGAGCGTTGTCGCCTTTCTTAAAGAACAAGACCACCGCACTTCTGCTCCACGCCTCCGGAGTAGTGCCACCATGGAGGTCGGAATTGAAGAGCTTCTGAAGGACTTCAAGTACCGGTGTTCCACCCGCTTTCAGAAGCTATGCTGTAATTCCATCCTCGCCTGGGGCCCTGCCGTTTTTAAGGTGCTGGAGAGCCATTCTAATCTCGCTCAGACTGACGTCCGGGATATCATCGGAATAGTGTCTGGTAAGACTTGCTCTTGGATCGTTACTCACACTTGCGTGTGGCTCCAACGATGATGTGTACAGCTGCCCATAGAACCTCTCAATCTCACTCATAATCTCAGGTGTCTCGGAAACGATGCTGCCACACTCAGTCTTCAGCTTTGACAGTTGGCTCTTTCTGGCAGACAGATCTCTGGCAAAGACTTTGGAGCCCTGGTTCCGCTCGATCGCTTCTTTAATACGAGCAGTATTAAAGTTGCGTAAGTCTCGCCGCATGCATTTGGAGATCTGTCTGTTCAGTTGCCTGTATGCTGTCAAATCTGTTGACGATTGCAGCCTCATCTCCCGTCTAACAGCCATGAGATTAAGAGTGTGATCGGAGAGTTTTTGTGTTTTTCTGCGGCGGGTCTTGCAGAACTTAGCTCCAACCGCATGGACAGTTTCCACGAGCTTGTCATTCATATCGTCCACTGCATTACAATCTTCTAGGCATTGAAAGCGGTTACGTAACTCGAGCTGAAAAGTCTCGGGATTCTGGATCAGAGCACAAGGGGGACGGAGCGTTGACTTCATTAGACGAGACCTCTCCAACTTAACGTTAAGGTTCAGTGTGCCTCTAACCATTCGGTGATCGCTGCCGGTTTTCACCCTTGCGATCACTGAGACATCACTGAACAGTTGGCTTCTGGTCGTCATAATGAAGTCAATCTCATTTTTTGTCGAACCGTCGGAGCTCGACCAGGTCCACTTCCTGTGGGGCCGCTTTTGGAAGAAAGAGTTCATCATAAAGAGTCCCTTTTTCTCCATAAAGTCAGCCAGCTGCTGGCCCCTACGGTTCCGTTGCCCTAGTCCAAATTTCCCTAACTTCAGCTCACCGCCTTCTCTTGTGCCTAGTTTTGCGTTGAAGTCTCCCATCAACACCGTGTAGTGGGTTTTGGAGGAATGCATGGCTCTAGAAATATCCTCTTACATTTCCTCCACCTCCTCATCGGGATGTGCCGAGGTTGGTGCGTAGACCTGTATGACCTTCAGCGAATACCGTTTGGTGATTCTGAGTATCAGGTACGCGACCCTCGTCGACACACTCCCAATCTTTACAACGTTGTTGACGAGAGACTTGTGGACGATAAATCCGACACCTTGGGACAGATGGTCCCAGTGATAGAACAAGTTGCCGGACTCGAGGATTACCGTGTCCTCCCCCTCTCTTCGGACCTCTATCCCAGCGCAACTTGTCTACCTCTTCTTTCAGCTCCAGTATCTTCTCGTCAGTCCTCAGGGTGCGTGCGTTATACGTTGCCAGGTCGAGTCGTCGTAGGTGACAACCGAACCTCCACCGGTGATTCTTAGCACCCCCTGCCCCGCCGTTACCATGGTCGCCACCGTAGCCAGGAATAGCGGGGCCGCCGGGGACTGGGGGCCGTTTATTTGCGTCGTTGCAAATAAATATCGCTGGACATTATTACACACAGCGCCATCTAGTGCCACACTAAGCAACTAGGCTTGTGTCGTGGACACCAGTTAGTTGATATACTACATAAATACTTTTTGTTTGTAAATACATACTTATTATACATATAAACAACCATGACTCGGAAACAAATGTCCTGTGCTCATCACACAAACATTTGCTCCTACCGGGATTCGAACCCGGGACCCTAAGAATGTAAGGCAGCCTCACTACCGCTGCGCCATACGGATTGTAGGTATAAGGTTTGTATATATGTAATTAGCTATACGTTACGGTAGTTATACTAATAATTTACGCCTAGTAGGGTATTTCATATTTTTAAATCGATTTAGGTACTTGTTATTATAACTAATTACTTATTTTCAGGATAATTCGGACACTCCCAACAGTATTTCTGTTTCTGGTGATGATGATGAAGATGAGATAAGATTTAACGCAGAAAATAATAACACTGCGAATTCACCGGCTTCAGAATCCGGGCCGATCACACAAAACTCCAATCAACCGACAAGACCGAGGTCAAAACGTAGCAAACTGTCTCAGATGTCCGAAATGATAAAAGACATACATAGTATCAATATCATCAGACGAAGAAAGTGATTGTGATATTTACGGAAAGCATGTGGCTTCTCAGTTAAAAAAACTCTCTGAGGAACAATGTATAATTGCACAAGAAGAAATACAAACAACATTATCCAAATGTAGACTGGCAGATATAGAAAAGAGAAGAAGAAACGTGAATATTTACCCAAATACTCACTTTTCTTTGAGTTCTACTACTCGTACACAGCCTCAGCAGAACCGTTACACTCCTAGTCCAGCTTCTACGACAAACAGCGGCAGCAGTAGTTCCTTAGGATTTTATCCCCCCGATGTAACTCAGATGACTGCCTCAAGCAACAGTTCTTTGGGATTTTATCCCACTCAGTCTACACAAATAGCTGTCGCTAGTAGCAGCTCTTTGGGATGTTATTTTTCATTGCCAACTCAAAGTCCAAGATATGTAGATTCCAGTCAGGTGATCATCCGTACCGCCCCTAATACAGCTCTTAATAACGATAATGTTGAGTGTGAAAGTGACAGTGTAAATGATGTTATTAAGTATGCTTTTGATTCAGCTTAGTACCTACTTTTGTCTAGATTATTATGATTTATATGTGATTGTATTTTTTTTTGATAACCTACTATAAGTATTTTTTCAATAAATAATTTTCTTACCTTAATCTGTGTTTTCAATGACTCATATTACCCAGCACACTTCCGGTATTAAATTAGAAATAGATGGTATCGATACACGATAAAAGTGACTGAGATTCCGAAACGACATTCCAGAAGCCAAAAATGTCAGCGTAATTTCGAGTTTCACTTTGGCTGGCAAGGCGTCTCTCATAAATGTGTCTTGACGCTGAATAGAGCTTGATAGCAACATAAGCAAATCGTCAAAGATTTTTGGCGTCATTCTCAAAGCCAGTTTGTATTCCCCAGGATCTTCCATTCTCAACTGGGTTAACAGAGCAGAACCTCCAGTTTTATCTCTGTCATCTATCCATTTTCTTACCCAAATTCGTTTCTGTTTAGATATCTCTTCTTTTAACATACCAGTTAGTTCTTGCATCATCACAAAGGTAAATTTTCTCAACAAATTATTAACTTAGATTTTTTGCTGTTTTCGAGAATTCATTTTTCTCAAACTTGTGTACACCAAAAGAAAAATATACTCGACTACTGACGAAATACTGACTGCTTGTAAATAGTAAGAGTCTGTTTTCGGCGCCAGCACTGACGACAGCTACTGACCCTGTGTAAATGTGCCAATACTGACACTTAGTCAAGTCATAAGTTCTATCAAAAACTTTTTATAAAATTAATGATACACTTTTTGATAATTATATAACAATCATTATTCAAAATGCCCTCCCGTATTTTGAATACATGCCCTTAATCGACGCGGCCAATCATCAATCGCAGCACGCACCACACTCATATCTATTTCTGCGCCGCTGCTTTAGCCAAAGATGCTCGGAGAGATTCCAAATTCTGATGAGGTTTAGCGCAGACTTCCTCCTCCAAATGTTGCCATATCTTATAATCCAGTGGGCTTAAATCTGGACTAGAAGAGGGCAAGATTTCATGTCCGATAAAATCAATTCCATGGGCGGTCAACCGTTTTTGCATGCTTCATGCCCTATGAGCTGGTGCAGAGTCTTGTTGGAATATCCAATGTCTGTTTTTGAACATTGTTTGAGAAAGAGGTTCCACTAAGTTTGTTGGGACGGTATTTTGGTACACCTTGGCACTGGTTTTTACACCTTTTTCACAGAAAAATATCTCAGTTAAGCCTGAATATGAGATTCCAAGCCAAACCATGAGTGACGAAGGATAATGTGCTCGGAATACGCGTGCTAGCTTCTTCACTGCTGTGGGCATACACCTTATCATTTTGTTTATTATAACTATCTTCGATGTTAAAAAAAATTTCCATCCGAAAATAAAATTTCCCGGTATTTTTTCCCACTTACCGCCGTAACAAAGCGCGCGATCTATCCAGCCTAATTTTTTTCAAATGCTCGTTCAAAAATGTCCGGTCTTCTTACGATAAGATTCTAGGTCTTCATTGATTACTCTTTTGACCGTGGTTCTGCTTATGCCCATCTGAAGAGCTAAGATTTTTTATTTACGAACAGTTTTTATTTCGTTGCATTCGCGCATTCACTGCTTTGATGATCGCAGATGTTCTAAGGACCGATTCTCATTTGCCGTTCACAGTTCGTTGACGTTCCGATCTCGGTCTGATTTATTATATTATTGGAATGGGATTCGAGCGAAACTTCACTATTACGGATAGTATGAATGCACACACATATTTTTTACTTGATAATATTTTATCAGACCGATAACCAGTTCGAGAACGAACTGTGAACGGCATTATAATGAAGATCGGCCCTAACAGTACGAGGTCGGCTAGTCTTCTTACGACCTTCGAAGCTTGAAACTTCAATTAATCGTTTGATGCCTATATCACACCTCCGCTGCGAAACAACAGTACTTCACTTACGCGAAACTATATTAGCGAAACCTAAAACTAGAACAGTTGAGAAATAACAATCTAAAGAAAATGTCGTCGCTTTCGGAGTCAGAGGAGGAAGTAATCTTACTGTGGTCAACTACTTTAAAAAGGTGTCGTACTTGGGTGCATGATATCAATAAAAAAAGAAAGAAGTTGGGAGAAAATATATTATGTAAAGAGTTACAGTCACATGAAGACCGTTTTTATTCTTACTTCAGAATGACACCGGACAGTTTTGACGAGTTACATAACCTTATAAAGCCTTGTATTACTAAACAAGATACAAGGTTTAGAGATGCTATTTCTAGCAAAGAAAGACTGGGATTAACTTTGAGGTAAGTACCTATATTAAAATTAAAGTTACAAAATTAAAATTTAAAAACCAATTATAATGATGAAAATTGAGAAAAATATGTAGATGTACTCAAATCAGTCACTCAATGAATGTCAGTACTCAAATGAACCTTCATTTCACTTCATTTGCCACCGAAGAATTTGTACGGCTTGTTTCTTCGTGTTGAGAAGATTCATTATCCAGAATAATGCTGCTGTCCGTTTGATTGTGGGTAGTAGATGATTCAAGAAATGACATTTGTTCAGCCCAGGCCCAATTCTGTAGTTTTTTTTGTTGCTTGGCCACTAGAGCTGTGTTTTGATTGCTTGAATATTCATGAAAGTATCTTTTAAATTTTTCCATTTTGCTTTTAAAGCTGGAACTGAAACAAAGAAGATAATTAATTGATTCAGGCGTTACTTTGCCTTATTTTGCGGCATTACTTTGTATGCTTCCGCCACCACTGGTGGAGGAAGCATACAAATCACTGGTGATTGTTTGCCACCTATGTGGTATAAAAAAAATAGATATATTCAGCAACAGTTTTCTTCCAACTTAATTTTTTTTTGTTACAGGTTTCTCTCAACTGGAGACACCTACAATACACTATCTTTTTCTTATCGTATGGGTAATTCAACAGTTTCGAAAATAGTGACTGAAGTTTGTGAAGAATTGTGGAATACGTTACGACCACTTGTCCTTCCAATACCCACAGAGGAAAATTGGCTGAATATGGCAGAAGAGTTTTTTTTTTCAAAAATGGGGATTTCCTCAATGCCTTGGTAGCATAGATGGAAAACACATAACCATAAAGTGCCCTCCGTGTAGCGGGTCAATGTTTTATTGTTATAAAAGTAAATATTCAGTTGTTTTAATAGCTGTGGTAGATGCCAATTATAAATTTATTTTTGTAGATGTTGGATTTGGATTGATTGTTGGATCATATGGGAAAGATGCCGATAGTACTATATTTGAAGCAACATCTTTTGCTCGATTATTAAGGAGCGGCCAACTTAATATACCAAATCCACAACCATTACAAGGAGAAACAGATTCTTTGCCTTATATTTTTTTAGGCGATGGTGGATTTAAACTTGAAACTTTTTTGATGAGACCTTTTTTAAGAGATGCAGCTTTGCAAGATAGAGATAAAAAGATATTTAATCAGTTGCTTAGTACAGCACGGGTAGTTGTGGAAAATGCATTTGGAATAATGGCACAAAAATGTAGGATATTCTTAACACCCTTTGAAACAGATTTGAGAAATACCATAAAAATTGTGAAAGCAGTTTGTTGTTTACACAATTTTATACAGACAAAAAAGTCAACCGAACGTGTAAGCTCTGGTTTGGAAACAGAACAGCTTGGAGCCTTTCTTCCACAAAACAGACTCAATGGAAACCGCGCACGATCATCATTTGCGGCATGTGACATCAGAGACAAATTTGTTCGATACTTTGCACAACACAGAACAGATAATTGATAGGTATACCTTGTAAATAATAAATAATTATACTTACCTTCTTCGTTTAACTCTCTGGATATCCCTCCATGCTTGTAGGTTTTTTGTGTTGTTTTTGTAGTCAGGGTGATTTAGTAAGTACAAAACAGGTCTATTTCTCACTGCTTGTATAAGTTTTTCAGTAAATTCCAAATCCATTGTTCCTATTTCGCTCATAAAAATTGTCGATTGCTACAGACGCGTCCGAGTTACACGCGGAACCGCTCCAAAATGGCGGACAACGGACGGAGATGTAGCCGGCGCCTGAGCAAATGAGCGAAATCATGTTAGAAAGAGACATCATAGTCAGTTTTGTACGTTAGAGCAGGGAATTTCGTTATTGTTTCGCCGCCAAAGAACTCACAACTCACAGCGAAACTATTGCGGTTTCGCCCTTTGAGTTTCGCAGCGGTATGCTACAGGCGTGATAGTGTGATGAACATATCGTAGGGTTATTTTCAACTTTTGTAAATTATTGAAAATCTATTTTGGCGCGTAACCACAGTGGTGCAACGCGATAACCGCTACTCTATCTTCTTTCTTCGACCACTCCATATTTGAAAATGAATGAAAATTTATGTCTTTTTTATTTTTGGCACGCGCATACGTTATATTTTTAAAATTGGCGAAGTTCATCTAGCCAGTATTCAAAAAAATTAAATAATAAGGTTTTGACTGAACTTTGACCCGGCTAACTATAATAATTCTTAGAGTAATTATATAAATTCGTATGCATAGAGAGAACCTACAATTGAACCAATATACTTGTCGTGCTTTTTCTACTTTTAATTTTCAAATAAGCCAAAAAGAGATAATTCATGAAAGATGTTGCTTGTAATTCAGGAAATGTCAAGTGGACATCTTTGGACACTTTATATTATGCCAAATGTGCGAATAAGTACACTCGTATATTCTGATTTACTAGAAAAATGACATCCCTGTTGCAGTAGTATTATATGTGATGTTACTTTACATGACATGACGTCCTTAATCTATAGTGGCTTTGTTCGCAATGTTAGTGACAATCGACAATTACAAAGCAAATAGGACTAGACATTATTGAAAATCGAATGATCAACAAATTTTTTTTTCTAATTTTTTTAGATTTTCATGATAAATTTTTAATTTTAAAACGATAGTACGAAATTTCGCATTATTTGACTACGTTTTTATTGTAAGATGTCAGATGAAGCTTCCATAAACTTTCATTAATATAAATAAGTATTACTAACTGGATTAATAAAAATCCTTAATTTTACGTCATGGACTAAATTAATTTATAGACAACATTTTTGTTTTGTTAATAGCATCAATAGAGATGTCTATGAAATGGAAAAAAAAACAACCTTTTATAAGATATAAGGTGATAATAATATAGCTATCTTATTTTTTACCATGTTAAACTTCATATGTATAAAGAGTTTAGCTGTAAGAAACTTGTTTTTATTTTAAGTTTGTCTGTGCTAGTGATTACTCTGAGATATAATTTATATATCGTAACTTTCGTGAACAACGCGAACACATTCCTTTCGTCAGAGAATGTCGCTGCCGACTTATCTGATCGGTGACCGCCGGAAAATGCGATTCATTGATAGCAGATATATTAGTAAATTGAATGCGGAAAGAATAAAGCTTTAGACCAACGCGACATTGAAATAGATAACATAAGGGACAAATAATTAAATACCTATTGTATTTTTTTAAACAAACTTGGAGAAATTTAACTTTTAATTTATTTAAGTATGATACCTGTCTAACGTCTAAATATAAAAATAGTTTTTCGATATTTTATAGATTTTGATATAAAACTATTGAGAAAAGTGTCACCAATCGCGTTTTTGGTTTTATCCTCAAGTAATCATTACTTTAATATCATCATTCGAGACTTAACAAAAAATAATATATGCTCTTAATAAAGTTATTGTTTTGTAAAACTGAAACGACTGACAAACTTAGCACCTGATAATAAGTGACCATTGCAGTCCGTGGACACCAGTAGCCAACTTAAAATAATGAAGGCTACAGATGCGTTGTCACCTCTGAGGACTAAGAAGGAATGCCTCACCGCCTGGTTCTCTGTGTCTTACACATCGGAACCAAAGCATTGCAGCACTGCAGCTATTTAACGACAGAAATAGGTAAGAGAGCGGGTACATACTCAGCCGGATGCCTAGGCAGAGATACTACCAGCTAGTATACGATCACGGTACATACGATTTTATGCAAAAATTAAGCAAATAGGTAATATCTCCCTTTGCCACAAACATGAGAAAGAATACCACAACTCGTCCGTACTGAAGATCAATTCAATCTTTATCGCCCTCGCAACGTGATGTCAGGAAGAATAGAGTTAAACTCTTTCACATCATAACCATAGATTCAAAGTAGTACAGGCCCGTAAAAATATCATTTACATTACTTGTACCCGATTTGTATGTGTATAATATCTATCTATATAATATTATTGTCACTGAAAGGGGTTATTCATAAAAATTTAATTAACTATAAGCTACGTTTTTAAAATTTAGCCGTAGTAGTAGTTCTTGACCTTCCGCATAGTCAGATAGATAAAGATGTTCCCCGGCAAATCGTGAAATGTCTTAAGATAAATTTAATTTTTTAACTTTCCGCCAAGAAAATTGAAAATCTTCAAAAATAGGGAAGTAATTGGTTTCACCCCGATTTTCGAAAATCGATTTTTCATCAGATGTCTACGTTTTGAGAACCCAGGAAGCTATTCTGACTAATTTCACGTGGACGTCCGTACGGATGTGTGTGTGTATGTGTGTATGTGTGTGTGTGCGCGTGTGCGTGTGCGTGTGCGTGTGCGTGTGCGTGTGCGTGTGCGTGTGCGTGTGCGTGCGCGTGCGTGTTGTGTTGTGTGCGCGCGCGCGTCCAAGGGTTTGGGTTGGGAGTTAAGAAGTTCCTGACATGGACTATGTCTAAAACGTGCATTTAAAAGCTTGTTGCGATAGTGGAGGCTAAATTAATCTTAAATGCTAAAAGGCAAATAACAAAGTGATTGTTATTATAATCCTAATTCGTTTGAAGAAAGTTGATACAAAGAATACTAGCGAGAAGTTATAACTTTTGACTAATACTCTATATGCCTGGTTTTGATATTAATCACATTATTAAACGGTTGAAGATGACCTCGTTAAGTAATCCCTCAAACAAAGCTATTTGCTTATATCTGCTAAAGCTAATTTAATCTGCTTAAACATTTTAGCGATTTTTTACGACCGTTTTTTTAACGATTTTTTTGGACCTAGAAAGCTGAAATTGTGCAAAACACCATTTTTTGTGTAGACTAGGATTTTTAGAAATTTCCTCGGGGTTGGGAATAGAAAGAATTTCGCTTTAAAGTGCCATAATTCCGTAACTATAATAATTATTAGAGACTTCAAATTTGGCATTTAAGTAAGCGTTTGGCAAGTAAGTAAGTATATAATAAGTATGGGTACATGGGTAGACTGTGTCTACTTCCGTCACTGACGTTA